TATACGATATAGTTGCTTTTACTTTTATTAGTAACAGTGCTTCTTCCTCGTTTTCCTTTAGCATTAAAATGATTTGTTGAACTTGAATGATGCAAGTTATAATTGCTATCAATACATTCGAAAGAAAATTTATCCTTAGAGAAAATTTTTTTATAAATAAAACAATTTTTTTTTATCTTATTTGAATTGTATTATTATATTTATTAATTATTTAATTTGTTTAATAATTATTATGTTTATAATAATTATAAATAATTTTTAATTTTATTTTATAATTTTAAAATTCGATTAGAAAAAACAATTAACATGCCAGTTTTCATCAATGTAGATTAACTGTAATCCAAGTTTAACTTATTTTACACCTTTTACTACATAAAGACATGAAAATTCGTTTAATGACGCAAGCAACTTAATTACTTTAACAATTAAAACAGAAATAATTAATCGAGAAATAAAAAATTCATCAATGACTAGAAAAATTAGAAACCGCAATGTCAATCACATGAATCTGAAATTGAATAAGTAGTTACCAAGAATTAATACAAATTGCCGGAACATTTGTCGGATTTCACTGTCGCCTCTAACCGCAATTATCATAATTGTGATGATACCTGCTCATCATGAACGATATTCATCACGACGGGGACTCGTGGGAGGCTAGTCGGTGAGTGTAACGACAGTTTTCAAGGTAATGCGGGGGTCTTGAAGTGGGTTGAGGCTAGAGACTCTCATCTTTTTATATAACAGCATCACGCGGTGCATGAATCTTTTTACAGTCCGGCGAAAGTAAGACGGTACCGAGTTGATTCCGCTTAAGAATACTACGTGACCAGCCTTCTCGTTTAATTATACGCTTGGTAGACCTTTTACACCTGCAGTTCATATACTGATTTACAGTTTAGGATGATTTCTCTATAATCATGCTTTGATTTAATAAGAATTATAAATCATAGAGTATCTGTTATATCTCAAAATGCTTCTCTTCTTTTTTAATCCATTTTAATTTTTAAATAGTAGTATCGCGCGAGAGTGTATTAAAAGTTTGAATATTAGTTTAACATAACGGCTCTATAATAATGTAGCTGTTTATTAAATAGTTCGAAGTTAATTTTGATTACATAAACTTTATTGGATCATATTTACGGAGAATAAATTAAATTTCTAATTTAACAATTATTATATTTGCGTCGAAATTATTTTTAGTCTCTTTTTGACGAACAATCGATTTCACACAAAATCTGTTTTCCCCTCAGACGATGTTCCTTACATCTGGACGTCTGGACGTCTCTGCGACTTCAAGGGTTGCGAGAACCGACGCGACCTCGAGCCCAAGTCTTTGTACGGTTGGTTCTGGTCGGCGAATCGCGAGAAGATGGCACCCACTAACCAAGCACCGAATGGTTGGGGTTTCAATCCGTGGTCGCAGACCGGCCACAAGAAGGTCAGGCAGCCGGATAATGCCGAATATGACATCAATGGCACCAACGAATCCTGCTTGTCCGTCTTGAACAACGTTTATAACGACGGCATCGCTTGGCACGACGTCGCGTGTTACCATGAGAAACCGTTCGTCTGCGAGGACTCTGAGGAGTTGCTCAACTACGTGGCCAGCACCAACCGCGGTATTCGCCTCTAAAGCGATCGCGGTCAGTCGACACCTACGTGGTGAACATGCGATCGTCCATCAGCGTCATATCAGCACTCACTTTCCTTCTGTACTTCCCGTCGCGGAGTCGATGAGACACGTGCCAAATATAAGGACGCGGGCAATTCTTCTCAGATAATTATAGAGAATCCTTTAGAAACGTGTTAGATGTAGCAAAAAAAAATTTCATGATATTTCTATAACTAAAATTTACGAACGTTATCTTTTTATAATTATATTTTACAATAAAATACAATTTTATATAATGTTTTTTACTAATTGTATCATTCGAAATAAAAGCTTGCTAGGATTATGATTTTGTAATCTATTCTTATGGATTTTTTTTATTAATTCATACATCACTGCCGATTTTTGTATGATTTCTATTGAATTTCTATGACTATGTAAAGCTTTTGTATCCTTAGCCTTTTCTCGTTGCGTTATAAATAATAAAATAAAAAAAAAACGATTTATGGGATGTGCGCTTAACATAGGAAAAATGACTTTGCTGAAATAAAAATCAGCTTACTACAGATCTAAAAATAATTTTGTTGAGCTATCAAAATAATGATGTAAAACGCTAATCGTTGATGACGAATGCTGCAGAAAATTTTAACATTTTAGCAACTAGTTTTAGTGCCCTATATAATTATTTTTTTCGATATTCCAAACAAAATTATTTTCAGATCTGTATCTAGCTAAATTTTTAGATATTTCAGCAAAACCGTTTTTTTCTGTGTATTAGTAATTCTTTTAATTTACATCCTATTCTAATAATTATAATAAACGTGAAATTTTTTAGATACGCGATGTTAAAAGTATCTCAAACAAAAGCGAAAGTGTAGAATCAATACATAATGCGATCAATTCATGACAAATTTTTATTATGTACAGCGACTAATTCAACGTATCTATACTTATATTAGGTGCTGTGACTTTAACATAACGTGATATATTTGCACGAAAATAAATGTATCTATTTACTGCGATTTTGTACCTACAAAAATTTTGTACTTATAAAAATTTCAAATATGAAAAAATGTAATTCTAGATTATTAATTGAACAAACGTGTCTCGTCGCTACGCTCTTTCTGCACTCATCGTATCGAAGAAATTCAATAATTTTATACTTTGTTTAATTTGTATCATTGAAGAGAGTAATTAATTGTGTACATGTATTTATTGATATAAATTTGGCTAGCAGTCTCTGTACATTTATGAATAAACGTTAATCTTACATAAATCATGTATGATTTAGTTGGTATTAAAAATTCAATATATTATATCCAATCTACAAGGAGGAGACAAACATATAGTATAATTAGACAAAGTATGATTTTTTTGTGCAAGAATAAGTCAAAGTGGATAATAAACTTTTTTTTGTTCAAGGCTTTATTTCCGAAAAAATTAAGTTTGAAAAGCATGGAATACGCGTGCACTTAATGAAGATAGAAGTTTGTGACACTGTAAACGGTATATTTACAGAGTTTTTCCACATAACATGGCTTCACGAGTGCCAAAATTAAAGAAAATGTGATAAACAATTAAATTTTATTCATTTTATTAAGAATAAATTTACAAGAAAAAGCCTCAAATAAAAAAAATTGCTTTTGCATTTTCTACTTATTTTATACAAACCTCCACCGCCTTTTGTTCGGTTATCTCCACCTTCTCAGAAAAATATTACAATAACAAATTTTATTTTAGATTTATATAATTAATTAAAAACAAATCTTTTATCAAAACAGTACAAAATGTAGTAACAATAGATATCAGAAAAATTGTTTAAAAACTTGTTAGCTTGATCTAAAAAATTTTACTTTTGAAATTTTTATGTAATTTGAGTAAAGCTGAGTTTCAACTATATAATTAATAATACTAGTCTACTATATAATTATAACTAGTATCATTAATTTCCCATGTTTCTAAGTAGATATGAATAATTAAAATATGCATATGTATATTTATATATATTGCCAAGAGACTAGTCTAGTTATACCTTTAGATAGGATAAACTTGGGTACATATTTCGAAGTGCTCATCTCATACTCAGAGATGAGAATCCCTGAGGATTGTACCATCACAGCAGATCACAAAAGTTTCACTTTACATGGCGCTAGAAGTATATTCTGAGTCGTCGGTAAGAGATCATACCTTGTATGATCAATTAATGCAACTTTAAATAAAAATCATATCAAACATTATCATATCTTAAGTACATATACATACCTATAATCGTAATATTCAATACAATAATAGACTATAATATTATATTTAATTTCGTTATAATTTTTAGTATTTATTTTGCATAGAGAAATACTATTAATGTATTTTTCTTTTTTAGTGTTTTATAGTTTAAATTTTTAGTTATTATTTCGGTTAATTTATTTTAGTTATTTTTATGATGCATTGTTGCACAATTATATTTTGCGATTACAATATAATAAACTAACAAAACAAATAACGTACAATGTACGTAATATGGAACAAAATCGAAGATCGTAGATGTGTAGACTCGCTGGAAAATATCTGTGGCTATATAGTTCTATGTGTACGTTTTGTGCACATAAAATCACCGGACAAGCACCATTAAAAACGCAGGACTTTCAGGCTTTTCTCTTCTATTGGTCTGATAATATTGGTGTTAAAGTTACTTATGTGTGATATCATAGCTATTCTCATAATATATAAATAAAAGAAAGAAATAATAAAATTCCGTAATTTTTTAAATTGATTTGAAAAGATTTTTTTTCTAAATCTTAGAACTATAAAATAAATAAAAAGTCATTAAACCGAGATAAAAGTTTATATTGCATTGATAGAAATGTACACGAGTTGTCGATAAACAAATTCTATTCTTATGGTACAAATCTTTTCTATCTACTACAAGTCTCAAAATATAGCATATACCTTCCTAAACAATTGAATCGACTGGCGATAACGTAGTGCGCAAAGTAGATTTCTACCTTTCACTGGTTGTATTTCGGTATACACCACTAGAGAGCTTTCTCTTTGCCACTAGTATAAGAAAAATCTATACGTAACGTAAATTCTACGTTTTCAGTATTTGCAGTGAATGACGGAACGCAGATATTTTTTTTTTTTTAATGCTACACAAGATATTCTTGAAAAGACAATAATCATTAATATCGACAAAATTATAATAATAACTTTTATTTTAACTATAACAATATACAATATCGATGGTATTTTATCTAATTGCAAATCAACAAGAAAACAAAATTTTTAATAAATTAAAATTTTATTGTATATAAAGTTTAGTTAAAAAAATAAAATAAAATGCTACAGTCCGAATAAAAATATTTTTTAAAAGATTTTAAAATAAAAATTGAGCGAAGAAAGGATAAAAAATATCAGAAACACCAAGAAGTCGTCTGATACTTAAAAACCTTTATTTCAACAGTAACAAATTGACATATATTTTCATAGAATTGTTACTGTTGAGATACAGATTAAAAGTTGACGAATTTTTATCTCCTTCTTATTGGTAAAGAACGTGTAATTTTCGTAGTTTGCAATCTAGTTCTAGATTTGTTACGACAAAATTCGCTCTTATTTGGTCAAAGGTATAAAAAAATAATATCAATTGAGTCTTTTAAATACCATTGTATTTTTCTTCTGCCGCGGCGAATGTGTACAGAAAATTACTATGCGAATTATCTAAGCGAGGATTTGTAGTTATAACATTTTGTACAATATATATATATTTATATATATATAATGATACAATAATGATGACAATTATAAGAATAATTAATCAATTCATCGACAATGACAAAAGATGAAGAATGACAATGGCGATGCCTTGATGAATAATGACGTCCGATGAAGACAATTAATATTAAATGCCTGAAAGTTTTTTTCTCTCGCACACATACATACGTTCTCTTTCTGTCTGTCTCTCTGTCTCTTCTTTACTAGTTCCACCTCTTTGGCTTGTGTACAGTTGTGACTGTTTGTATATAATATAAATTATCAACGTTACTATTTTATTACTAAATCAGTTATGTATTCATGTAGTCCATCTTGCGCGTCTTTGGATTTGTATTGTTATCGTGATCGGGCATCTCGGAAATTTCGTTGCACAGAACAGAAATTGCGCGACCACTACTTACTCGAATGTATTTACATAAAATTATTCGCAGTTTCACATTAAATCGTATTCATTCGAACGCAAATTTCTCTGACAATTGCTTTGATTAATTCACTAATTTAAGTTTACATACTCGTACTTTTGACTCGGGTAACTTTACAATCAATTACAGCGGTCGATTTTTTATTTATTACATAAAATCGCATACAAAAAATTGATAAACCAATGGTAACTTATTCGTAAACGTAAAATGTCTTTGCTGAACGGTATTAACTATAATATATATTTTTCCGTTCGTAATAATTGTTCTATGCTGCATAAGACTAATTAGGAAAATTCGTACGACATTTAATATTTTGCACGCGTTCGCAAAATTAATATAAGTTTAGTGCTAATAATATGGTTTCGAGTTAATGATGAAATTTTAGAAAATATATCCCAAGCGAACGCCGGTCTCGCCGAAATTGTCGACCGTCGCAGGTGTTGCCGGGGTCGCAGGTGCGTCTGTGATGCGGCGGCGCGCCTTTGCTGTAATAAGAGAGCTAATTAAAAATAAAACGAAATGACGAACAGACAGATTGGGAGGTTTCTCCGCGAACGAGTGCATACGGCCGACCTCCACTTTCACCAATAAATAATATTTAACGACAGTGACACTTACTTAGTGACACGCACAATATAAAAATTAACGGATCGCGCTTTACAGCCGATCGCTTAATCACTCGATCGAAGATCGCATAGTCAGAGGACTAAAAAAAACGATACGAGATAAAATACGCGCCGCTTTCCGCTGGACCCGTTATGTATCGCTTCAGCTATTCGATACCGCGGCGCAAAAAAAACGAAATATAATATTAAAATTCGGCATAATATTAATATTTCGGTTCTTAACGCACTCTCGGTCCACTTTGTACACGACTTATGCGCCCTTTCACATTAATTAAATTACAACAACACATCTATATATTATATATGATACAATAATAAATTAATTGTTAAATTATTATGCGATTGTTTCGATTGACGTATATCGATACATAACAGATTTATATAAGCATACCCGTTTTACATGTCCAAATCGTGATAAGTTCAACACATTTGACTCATTGGCTTATTCTTTTTTAACGAAACTATACCATAAAAAAAGCGACTGGCGAAGACTTTTCCTATGGAATAGTATCGTATCAAACAATTTTCTG